AACCCAAACCATTCTATGATTTATGTATCTCAAATCACCTTCTGCACAGTGGATAATATGATTTAGAAAGAGGATGGCTTCCAAAAGCATGCATATTTTTGCTCTGACAGTCCTCCAGTGTCAGACTACTGTTTTGAATATATGCCTTCTGCTCATCAGCTGTCCATTCAACATGTCTATGCTACAATCTGAATGATAAATACTTAATCCATTTATCTGTGAGTTTCCAGAACTGTTCACAGTATATATATACACACCAAGTCCTACTTGGTATAACTGTGAGTACTAGAGAAGTAAGGGTGTCTGACTTCAAGTACCATGACCTAAAATGAAGCAGCAGAAATCTGTATGGGGATGAAAATACACTGAAAAGGCTCATGAGTACAGGGAGCATTACATGGTGCAGATAAGCTCATATTGTGAAAGTTCATATTATAAACCTGAAAGTCTTTTACCTAAAGACAACAGTGTCAGTTATGAACTTGGGGATTTCCATCTTCAACCCCAAAGCAGTTTAATCACGTCACCTTTGCATTACAGAGCATAAAACCAAGAAATTTGTCTTCTGAATGGGAATAGAACTGTGCAGACTAGAGGATAGATTTACTAGCTTAAGACAAACTACTGAGTGACAGGTGTTAGACAGCCATACACTGCAGATGTCAGATGACTTAAGGGAAGAATCTAGAGGAAAAGTCTTAAGGAATCTTAAGGAAAAGTTCTAGCCATAGTGCTCTCGGTGGCAAAAAACAGCCTTATAATTATAGCAAAAATTGTCCATGAAATTTCAGGAAGTTTCAAATTTTTAACAATTCTGTATAAAAAAGTAAGTAAATTTGCAAAATGCTGCTTTTCTGCAGTAGTGCAGGGGTGTCTGAATTCATTATGCTGTTGGCAAGTACTTGCAGTTTAGCTAAATGTTACAGGCACTCCCATTTTCTGTCATATAACCTGACAACCCCATAAATTTGTTTTGAAAACACTAACACAGATCTTCAGTGAGATTCCTTAGCAGGGCAAGATTCCAGCTTCAACACTGTCATTTACCAGCTTTGAAAACTATTGGTTTCGCTGTCTACCAATGGCCCTGTTATTCTTTACCAGGCAAAAAACCAAACCAAACCGAACAATAAACCCACAACTTCTCTATAGCATAAAGGCAGGGAACTTTACAACTAGCCTTGAAAACTTCTATCAGTTTAGGACTTCTAGAAATTTGGCATCTCCTACTGTCTTCTGAGGTTCAAATGTTTATAAAAAACAGCATTATCAAGAGCCACCTAGTCTAACTATTCTTACCTTTGACCAAGTATTAGGAATTTTTCCAGTTAATTTAACTGGAAATTCATGGTGTATCTTTGGTCTCACTAGGAAAAACTAATATACGAAGATTTGGTAATAGTACAACAGTTTGCTAAAAATATTCAACTATTATTATGCAGAACACATAAGTGGGGCAATTTATGACAGAAATAAATACGTTGCTTCATGGTTTTGAGACAGACTTTCACTTTGTTTATTCTCTTAGTCCATATGAAATGCTTGAAAGGGAACTGAACATTTCTCTGTTACTACTATGAATCAAATGAAATCATGGAATAAAAAAAAAAAAAAAACCAACAGAAAGGATAAACAGCCCTTAATAAGCAAACCACAGCCATATAGCTCAGTAAATATGGTGGTACAATGTTAATAGCAGGCCACAGACTTCATGTTAAGCTAACAAAACAGGCCACAGACTGTCAGTTTTTTTCAGCATTTCTGGCAGCTCAGAGACTTGTTTTAACATGTAGCTGCAATTATCTAATGAGCAGATAACTACTTACTACTTAATTTTAGCTTTGTACAACTGTGTGATATAACAAAATATTTTTTTAATATATATATTTATGAACAGAAGTTAGTAATAACAAAAAATTTTGTTATAACAGTGTCAGTCTATACAGAAAGCCCTTCTCCCATAATGAGCCCATTGAGTTTAGGACCATATAAGCATTGGAAGAGCGAGTGTACTTCAGAGAAAAGGGTACACAATAGATGTTTGTCTGTATATGATTCAAGCATTACCTAACTTTAAATATTAGTAAAATCACAGAATGGTTTGGATTGGAAGGGACCTTAAGGATCACCCAGTTCCAAGCCCCCTGCCATGGGCAGGGACACCTAGTATAACTTTAACTAGGTTAATATTATTCTTTGATTAGACTGTTAAGATTTTCTTTGGACCAACATCAAAGCCTTGACTTTGCATCTATGGGTGGCATGTTCCTTTTGCCCATGACAATATTTTGAGGGTAACAGTCTGGTGAGTATTCAAGCAACCTATTTCATAATTTGGACGTAACAAATTCTTACCAATATATTTTGGCAACAGTGGAAAAGCAAGAACACCTAAAGATAATAATAGCAGAGACACTGGCATGATTTTACTAATTGAAGAGAACAGAGAAATACAAGTGTCTCAAATATTCTGGAATCACAGGGTATTTTCTACATCTTAAACATAACTATGCATAAACTTTTTGTGTTTTGTTTTGTGGTTTTTTTTACAGCTCATTTATGGGTGATACATTCATTGTCAGATTTCCATGAGACAACTGTACAGACAAACCAACCTTTTCCTCTGAAGCAGTATCAACTTTCTTTTGAGAGCGACTACCAGATCTCTTATTTCTCTCATCCTTATGACGTATGTGCAATCTTCTGTAGAAAGGTTTTGATCTGAACTTCTAAGAATACTGGCCATAGCAAGACAAAGTATTTAAATCTTCCACTAACTTTCCTCTCAGACCCACTGCCAAATTTCAATGACCTTATAACCATTTGTTTTCCTTATAGCAAAAACATTTATATGTCACTATAATTGTTTCTGCAGTGCTAGACTGAGCTTTAATGTACAGAATTTAAAGTAGTGTGCTACCTGAGAGACTGAGAAAACTGCATGCACAGCCAAAACACAAAGAAACTTGCTCTGTAGTCAGAGATCATAGCCATAAATGTAAAGAACTGCACACACAATGGAGATGCATGCGTTTTGGTCTTTGTGAAATAGCCGAATTCCTAAAAAAATCAAGATGATAAACTGATGAAGTTTTATAAACGTGTATCAGTACTGTGTCATATAGTAAAGCCATCTGATATACTTAAAACTCCTTTTTGCAACTTTATCCAGTCTCATGTTCCTAGTTATCCTGTCTGTATAGATGTAATTATATATACATGCCATCTTGTTTTTATGCCTTTAATATATATTATATATACATTGCTGCTAACCTAACTGAATGTTAATTTTTTGCAATTGAAATAATCTCTTTATTGTAGGTCTACTTCTATCAAAACACTTCTGTTTCTTTGTAATTCATATTTTTAAAATATTAAAATAAATTATTATATTAGGAGAACACCTGTCTCAGAAAAAGTAAGAAAATAATTTAAAATTATTATTCACAGTAGGAAAATCCTCATGTTGGAAGCAAGGAATTTGCTGAAGCAAACCCTTAGTCCCTTAGTGTAGTTTTTGCTTCTGAGTATTCAACTCTTGAAGTCTAATAAGAACTCAAGGAAGGATCTGAAGCAGAAAACACTATGTTAATCTATCCCACTGGAAAATTTCTTTCTAGCCTCTAGTGGTCTGTCTTGAAGCAGAATGATAAACCCTTCTTTCACAATTTTTTCATGGGTTCTACCAGCAGGTCAGATAGACCTTTCCTGAATTCCCTTCAGTCTTTCATGGTTTGAAAAACGTAAAAGCTATTGGGTGTTTTGTGTAGATAAGCATCTATCCCATCTTTCAAGATCAGTGTCAAATTTACTGAACACACATTCTACACTGAAAACCTGTAGCACCATTTGACTCTTGTCATGATGTAAACCATTTATTTCTATCTATTTTATATCTTCTTAGCTGGTCAGTTATCTATGACACCAATTCTACAAAATGACCACCCAGTTTTGTCATAACATCCTATACGAGACTTTGTCAAAGCCTCTAAAGGTATAAAGAAATGTCAGAAATTATGTTTCTACACTTGCATTTTTAGATGAAAGTCCAAGTAAGAGCTTTACAATGGAAAATCCCCTTGCTCACAAGTCGAGAAAAAAAAAAAAAGAATTTAAGATAATTTCTGTCAGTATCATGAGTTCTCATAATCAATACAACTGACAGATATTAACAGGAGAAATAAATCACTGCTGAGGAATGTGATTTATAAGATATTTATGATTTATAAAAGCACATACTATTCTGACTTCAGTTGATTACACTACAGATTAGGATAGAAGTTCAGTTCTTCAGCAAAAGCTGTAGTACATACCTAGAAACAAGTAACAAAAATCAGTAAGTACTGTGAGTTCTGAATCAAAAGTACTACCGTAAAGTTACCTTCACATCTGGGGAAATGATAGTTCCAATTTCTGTTGATTCCATGTTGGCAAGTGAGAACAGGTTGACCCCTCAAAACATATCCAGGATAGCATTCAAATGATACTGACTGACCCACACTGTAATCTGAGTTGACTATATATCCATTCAAAAAAGGAGGAGGATCAGGGCAGTTCTGTAACTCATAAGCTGGAAGAGAACACAAGTACTTCTTAGTTCTTAGACAGCTCTCAACACAAAAAGTAAACATTTATATAAATTCTGTAATGCATTCCGTAATATGTAAACACTGGAATGTCAAACTCCAATAAGAGAGTGATTAGCACATAAAAGGAGATAAATCAGCCATTGGGACCATTCAGATCTTACTAAAGGAATGAAAAAATTAGCTCTAGAGAAAGCATAGGAAAAATAAAAATTTGGAACAGAATGAATTGCCATCTACATCAGAAATTTATAAAGGAAAGTTAAAGAACCATTGGGTGCAGGGTATGAAGATGGAATATTGTGGTTTAGTAGTTCAAGTTGAATATTCAATTTAGGAAATTACCTAAATCATCTGTTTATTTTTAAATAAAATTCTGCTCTCAGACCTCATGCCTAAGATCTTAAAAGTAGTAGTTTTCTAGTAGGATAACATTTTTTAACCAAGATATATCCATATTTTTAAATAAATTCATGTACCTAGTATGTCATTGAGTGACGCAATTTCACGAGTATGTAAGAAATTTTCAAAAACTTTATTTATACTCAGTCTTAACTTAATATCTTATGTCTGAAATAAAAAAAATCTTGCTCTGAATGCAGAAACATTACATCCAAAAGCTGCATAGAGTAATAATTTAAATGACCAAATTTAATAAGGGTTCACTTTTCTGCTATAAGATTCTAAAAAATTAAAATTGTCACAGAATTTTCCAAATATTTTTTCCTATCGCAACATACAAGAAACAATGCAATTAATTCCAAGAAATACATAGTAAAACTATTTAGGAAATGAAATTTGTCCATGATCCAAATCCAAGAACTTGCACATGAGCAGAGCAGAATTTAAAGAAAAAAAAAAAAAAGGCAGGTATAAAATATGAAGATACTCTCTCCATGTGACTTCTGGTATAAATCCTATAGATGACTCATAAATTATTGGAGTAACTATAAGTCAGGTGATCCATCTGACTATGATATCATGATTTATAGGCCACTCAGGGAATACATTTCATAGTTTTAATATAAGTATGAGTTATATTCTTCTCGGTTCTTTTGGAATATGCAAAAACTATACCTGATTTAACAGAGCTATTCATTATTCAGTCATCACTATCAAACATTACCCACAAATCCTGATGTCACACCTCCCAAATGAAAGATTTTTTTATGAGTGTCCTGACCAAAGACTTGTTTGGTATTAAGCTTTAAAAATGATATACCATTTCACAGCAGAAAAAAACTGCAGCGAGAGCCTGAAGTGAAGCCCAGTGTAAATAAAAACTGAGAGAAAAATTTAATTCTAATGCTGGCAGCAGTCAAATACTTGAATTTTAAAATTCTCTTGTATTGACATTTGGCATTTCTTTGTGCAATATATTTTCAATTGTTAAGAGTATAAATCACAAAAGAAGTATATTTGATCCTCTGCTATGTTGTTTTTATGATTCAAATATATTTTCCTTCTTACATTAACACTAGGGTGACTTACTGCTTCTGCAGTGCCACATACATCTTAACACACATGGAAATAACTACTTTACAGAAAAACTGCATGAGCAGAGAGTTGAATACGCAAACATACAAATGTTAGGAAAGCTCACAATTACTGCTACTTAAAACTTTCATTTAGTCTTATTGTACATTCCTCCAGTATCATGCTGTGTGTAACTACAGTCTCAAGAACAAAATCCACTTCTAAGACTAGACTAGACTAGCATGGATTGGGTTGCAAGGGACACCAAGTTCCAACCCCCCCTGCCATTACCAAGGACATCTTGCACTACACCAGGTTGCTCTAAGGCCTGTCTAATCTGTGTCTGAACACTTCCAGGGATGGGGCATCCACAGCTTCTCTGGGCAACCTGTTCCAGTCTCACCAACCCCATCTTAAAATATTTCGTCCTTTCATCAATCTAAATCTACCCTCTTTCAGTTTAAAAGTGTTGCCCCTTGTCTTGTTCTTAAACACAAGGTCTCTCTCCATCTTTCTTACAAGCCCCCTTTAAGTACTGAAAAGTCACAATAAGGTGTCCCTGGAACTTTCTCTTGTTCAGGCTGAGCAACCCCAACCCTGTTACTTTTCCTTATAGGACAGAGGTGTTCCAGCCCTCTGATTGTATTTGCATTCTTCCTCTGGACCTGCTTTAATAGCTTCATGCCTTTCTTGTGCTGAGAACCAGAGCTGAATGCAGTACTCCCAGTGGAGTGTCACCTCCCTCAACCTGCTGGCCACAGTTCTTTTTATGGAAACCCAGGATATGATTTGCTGCAGCCCAGAATAAGACTAGCAATCTGGAATCTCAGTTAATTGACTTCGACACTAATGAACATAATTTTTCCAGATGCAATGATTCAGAATTAGAGTCACAAAACATGGCTTAATTTTGTCACATGAGTTGGCAGATAAATTGCTGTGAGTCCCCCCAGATATCCTGTTTTATTTTGATTTGTATTGCCCCCTTAGGACATTATCCAAAACCATTTTAGAAATATAGCAGCAGTCAACAATTCTTTTTTCATTGCAGGAAATCATGAAACTTTCCAGGAACAACATGACTCAGAAGTGCGATCATAACTGTCTTTTTGCTAGATGAAGGTCATCAAATTTAACATGTTAAAATCATGTTGTGTATAAGCATGAGTATGCTTGTGGAGGAAATAGAGGGCAATTAGAACTTTTTTCCATGTTTTCTGGAATATGTTGCTCTCCAAGTACAACAGGGTAAGCTTCTTATCTCAGATTCAGTTTTATGCTACATTGAAATTCAGGAGAGACAGAAAATGTTCTTAAGAGTTACAGTAGTGGGATGTAGGATTCCCCTAGTAAAAATAACAAAAAAAAAAATTATCTGCTTTGCTTAAAGAAGCGCTAGTCCTAAAAAGAAAGCTATGTGGGAAAAAAAAATGTTCCACAAATATTAAAAGGCCGAGGTATCAGTCATAGTATAGTCAGGTATTGAAAACCACGAGTATGTCTTAACAACTGTTAGACTAACCATATTCTTCTATGCACTAAATTCTGACATCTCTCAGAGGCCATAAAAGCTATTTATTTCTTCTGACCTAGCATATATCTTCAGTCATTCCAGTTATATGCAGAGTATCCCGAGCCTGTAATTATCTAACTTGTCTTGCCAATCAAATTTTTGTGACTGTTCTGTAACTCAGAACTTGTGTGTATAGGTTGTTTACATCCAGATACTGAAATTCAGCAGATATAAGGGAGTCGGGAACTCAAATTTGTGAATCAGAAATGTCCTTCTAAGTCCTTCTTGTCTGATGTTTTTCATAGGTGGCAAAAGCACACCAGTAATCAAAAAAAAGATATAATTTCTTAATGCTGTTGTTTTTTTTTTTTAAGTAAAGACTACAAAATTTATTTCAACAACAGAAAAGATTTAATTGATACTTTGATACTGTCCCACAGGACATCCTTGTCTCAAAACTGAAGAGACATGGATTTGACGGAGGGACCGCTCGATGGATAAAGAACTGGCTGGATGGCCGCACTCAGAGAGTGGTGGTCAATGGCTCAGTGTCTGAGTGGAGACCAGTGATGAGTGGCATTCCTCGGGGGTCGGTGTTGGGACCTGTGCTGTTTAACATCTTCATTAGTGACATGGATGATGGCGTTGAGTGCTCCCTCAGCAAGTTTGCCGACGACACCAAACTGTGTGGCGCATTCGACAGGCTGGGGGGAAGGGATGCCATCCAGAGGGACCTGGACAGGCTGGAGAGGTGGGCCACTGCCAACCTCATGGAGTTCAACAAGGCCAAGTGCAAGGTCCTGCACCTGGGTTGGGGCAATCCCAAGCACAAGTACAGGCTGGGTGGAGAGCGGATAGAGAGCAGCCCTGAGGAGAGAAGGACTTGGGGGGAAATGGTGGATGAAAAATGAACATGAGCCGGCAGTGTGCGCTGGCAGTCCAGAAAGCCAACCGTATCCTGGGCTGTATCAGGAGAAGG